TAATAAAAATCTTATAAATTAATTTATTTAGACAAACAATAAAGTGAAGTAGGTGGAAAGGGACATGGAAATGGTATTTCCTTTTACCCCACCACATTAGCCCCACTGAATTTTGATTGGCATTTTTAGCAAAGAGCTTGAAATTAAATTTATGAAAATAACTAATCATTTTAGCAATTTAAGTCTGATAACTTCGAACTTTTGAATCACAAGGATTTTGGTTGTAGTATTCTCATGATAGAAATAAATAGGGACAGTGACTATGACCCTTTAACCGCGGTTGACCCATTTAATTCTCTAAAGTAGTACCATTATGACAATAAGGTGGTCTCATCATACTTTAGTGTTTCAGATTCATTAGTGATATGGAAGAGAAAACTTTGTTAGAGGGTTTTTTTTTTAAGTTGTGCTTTTTAAAGACACATGGTAATTAATAGCACAATAAATATATTTTTATTATAAATTCATATAAAAATACTTTATATAAAAAATTGACATTAATTTTGATATTAATATTAATTAAATAAATTTAATTTAATTATTGATAATTAAATATCAATTTTTATTTTTCCAAGAAAAGTTTATGAGTAAACATGGATTTTTATACCATTAAAAAAATAATTTTGTTTTAGGATTTTTCTAATATATATTTTTAGGATATAGATTAAAAATGTAATTAATGCACTTTTAAAATTGATTTTTATAAAAAAAATTAAAATTAAAATTTAATTAATTAATTATCTAATTAAAATTATGCATATAGCATTAACACAAAAATTAATGTTAAATTTTGTAATATCTTATATAAATTAATTGTTAAAAGATATAGTAATTATATTTTGGAGCACAAGTTAGCAAAGTCTTGTTTTAAAATAAAAATAGTTGATTTTTTTGAAAGAGAAAAGTGTTTATTATTAGGATTTTTTTAAAAATTAAGAATAAAAATATTTTAAAATTATATTATTTTAATAAATTTAGTTAAAAATTAAAATATTTTATTTTTAAAATAAAAATAAAAATAAAAATTATTTTTATTTTTAAAATAAAATTGAGATGATTTTTATTTTATTATTATTATTTTTTTTTACATTTTATTGAAATGACATGAAGGTCCACTAATTGAGGTTGCTTCAAATAATTTAGTTACTAATCCACGCCTCGACTAAATTCTAATCTTTGGTCAAGTAAGCATCAGTACTCGTGGCTGTGATTTCCAGCCGGTGAATGATATTCCCCCTTCCTCAATTTTCCTGTTCAAAAAATAATAATAATAATAATTTGGTTTCAATGATTGATTGATTGGGCTTGTGCTGCCGTTGGACTTTGGTTTGGGTGCGACAGGATTGCCATGATGATCATCTTTCTTTTTTATTTTCCCCAAGCTCTTTCGGTATTAGTTTTTATTTACTTTTAAAATAATTTTCAAGATATATTTTATATTAATTTAATATATTTTAAAAAATTAATTTTTTTTAAATACAAACTATAAAATTAAAATTTATAAAATAATATTTATTTTTTTTAACATGAAATAATATTTATTTATTAATAAATACAATTTTTAGAGTTAAATATAAGTATAGTTTAATTTCAGTCACAATCAAATTAAAACTAAACTATTGTTTAATTGAAATTTTAGGTTTTAAAATTTAGTAATCATTAATTAAATCAAAAAAATAAATTTTATCGATTTTAATTATATTTTTTAAAATATGATTTGGATATTTTAGTTTTAACTAATTTTTTTTTAAATTTATTAATTATTATTTTATGAATTTCAATAATTAAAAAATTAAAAATTACTCAAATAAATAAATAATTTATTAAAAATGACAATTTTTTTAAATCTAAAAACTATTAAAAATTTTATATAAAAGATTTTTTAGTCAAAATTTTTAGTTATACTTACCCTATTCATTGTTTAAAAATTTTTAAACTTATTTAACAAAACCCAAACAATTTAAATTTAATTTATTTTGGGTTTTTATGAAAAGCTTAAAACTTAATCGAATTCTACAGTCAATTTGGGTTTTGAACGAATTTAGATTTGTTTTTTTCGCTTTTCTGGCAAAAGAGATTTTTTTTTGTTGTGAACTTTTTTTTACCCACCCATATTTAAGGTTATGTTACATTTATTTAATAATTTATTATAATTATAAATTTATAATTTACATATTATCAATAATTTTAGTATTTATATTGTTTTTTTTTTGTAATTTGAAGTGAAAAAAACATTTTTATTAATTTTTCATAAATTATAATTTTTAAATGTTAAAAGTACATGTACTTGCGACCTTGATCACGATGGAAGTGCACCAACACTTTTGATTTCTTTGTTAAGAGTTTAAGCTGCGAGTGCAGCAATCTTATTCTCCCAACCCTCAAATTCTCCACTTGTCAAAAAAAAAATGTTAAAAGTACATGATCACCCCCTAAGTTTTTTTTTATAATGGTAATGGTTAGGAAGTTAGTAGAATTAATTTGTTAGCAGTTGAGATTTCTCAGAATAGTAAACATTTCACCCCCTCATATAAAGTGCGCGACCATTAAATTACAAATTAATAAAATTCACAACAATGACAGAACTCAAAATTCTAACTTTTATCTCGTCCAAACCTTAAAACTTGAGACCAACCATTGGGTTGAGACCCGGTTGGTTGATCACCCCCAAGTTAATAAAGAGAAACCAGAGGCGGTTAAGGTCAACGCGATGGTCCCACAGCTTGTCAATTGTCAGTCACCGACTTACCGTGTTCCCCTTTGGCGCAAGATAGCGAGTGGCCGAGTCCGTTGGACTTGGCGTTTCGGCGGTCAAAGCAACCCACTACGAGAGTGCTGGGATTATCCCCACCTCTAAGTTTGTTAGTTAATGTTTGTAATTTTATTAGAGGTTTGTTATATGTTAAGTTTCTAATAAATATATTTTTATAATTAATTTATATAAAAAACTTATAAAAATTAATATAATTTTTAATATTATTGATAAATAAATAATTTGAATTAATTAATTAAATTAAATTTAAATTAACATTTAAGAGTGCATTTCTACGTCGCCCTTAAGTTTTCAAGAAAGTTACATTCTCTCATACTGTTAATTGCAATGCTTTTTAAAAATTTATTGATATATAATAAATTTTTTAATTTTAAGATTTTTTTTCTCATTAATAATTATAAAATTTATTGTTCATGCTATCTCTTGGATCTAACCTTTGATTATTTGTTTTTTCTTAGCCATCAGGATTATTTTTATCAAAAATAATTTAGATTAAATTACATATGAAAAATATAGTCTACATACTAAAATTATTAAAATATTTTTAATAAAACTCTTACTTACATTCATTTATTGGTAATAATTTAATAATTCCCATAATCAAATCACATATTAAAAATAGTCTAAATTAAAATCCACGAAATTTATATTTTATTAATTAATATTACATGAATGAATATATATAATATTATAGATAAATTCTTTAAAAAAAATTAATTATATCACACTATATTATATTGTAAATTTATAATATTTTATGATATTGTAATTATAATATTTTTGAATAAAAAATATATATTTTTATATCCCTTAATAAGAAATACATTAATCAAACGATATTTCTTTGGTATAATTAATTAAAAACAACATTGTTGAATAATGAATGGTATGTAACACGAATCTTCTTCTACTCTCAAGAGCAGGGTTCTGTGTCCAACCAAACAGACGAAGTAAACGTGTCCTTTTATGGGTTGTTTGATTTGAGAGAAAAAAATTTCAGAAATATTTGTTTGGAAAATTTGCTGGACTATTTATAACTTCCGTAAAAGAAGAGAATGTTTAATGGTTTTTCTAATATAGGCTTTTAAGTATAGATTAATGAATAAGTATATTTTTTATTATAAATTTATATTAAAAAAGTAAAATTTTAAATTTAATTTATTAACTATTAATTAAATTTATTTATTTAGTACCAATATTGTAATTAATATCAGTTTTTTGTTTTTTTTATATATATTTATGATAAAAAATACCTATTAAAAAAACCCAACGTTTAAATTGTTAATTTTCTTGTGATGGCTGAGAAAGAGGTAAAATTTAAAATTTAATTTATTAATTATTTAATTAAATTTATTTATTTAGTATCAATACTAAAATTAATATAAGTTTTTACCTTATTTATACACATTTATAATAAAAAATACCTGTTAGAAAACCCAATGTTTAAATTGTTAATTTGCTTGTGATGGCTGAGACATAAGCATTGCAACCCCTTAATTTTCCTCTTGGAAATAAAAATCTATTAATTATAAAATTACTATTATGGTAAGATGAACAGTGTAAATATTAAAATATTTTCAAATTTCTTAAACTACAAAAGACTTTTCTTAAACTAAACACACAGTTAATAAATACTAAAATATCATTAAACTTTTGCAAGTGAAAGAAAAAACTTGTAAATTGATTCAAATAATTGTAGTTGAAGTCAATCATTTAAATAGTAATACGAGAATAAGGGCATATTTG